GGGGCACACAAAGCGCAACCAGGACCCTCGCCACCGACAGCCTCAGCGAGGCGGGCTTGCGTGCGCAGGTTGCTGGTGCACAGCACCGATGCAAGCGCTGCAGCGGCAGGGGAGATGGCATGAAAGCAGCAAGTGTGGCAGCACAAAAAGCAAATGCCAGCTATACCCGATGCTAAGTTTTAGAATTTAGGACCTGGAAAACAGAGCTAGGTACATTCAAATTGCAGTATCATCATTACAACAAGTTAGCATACTGCAACAACAACTAAAGTAACTATTTTTCAGCTATATCCTTCCTCAGAGTAGGGGCCTTTCCTCCAGGATCTCAGTCTTGCTATGACAGAAAGCAGCTTTACTCCCTACAGACACATCAGGTATCTGCTTAAAAAAAAAAAAAAATATTAAAGAAAAATCATGTTTCAGAAGACGTAAAGACAAAATTAACTCCTTAATCTGCTTTACCTCTGTCAAAAAGGCATCAAAATGCCTGTAACACTGTTTCACCCCCCCCATTTCTACTGGCTATTTAATCAGAGGAAGCTTTTCAAAAGGAAAACCGTACAACATATGTTGCTCTCTCAAGATTGTTCAAATCAAAATGGCACCAATCTTGCAAAAGCACCTGTCTAGATTTCATCCAAGTCAAAAAAATCTCAATAAAGAAGGAAATCATCATACAATGTATACAAACTTATACCTTCCAATAAATCATACAGACTAGTTCTGTGCCATTTTTTCCCATCCAAAATTAGACAGGGTTCAATGGGGAATAGGTGCTCTCTCCCCTTAATCTTTTTTAAAATACATACTACATCACACACATGTATACAAGGTTAAATACAGGGAAGGGATTATAGTTTGATGCTTCTATCCAGTACAGAACAGCACTTGAAAACATCCCTCCTGGCTCCCTAGAACCGAATCTATAAATCCACATCTTAAACCTCAAGAGATGAAAATTAGAGGATTTGACTTATGATACCTTCAGTACTTGAGCTTATTTATTTCCTTTTAAAACTGGAATAACTATCACTGACAATTACTGACATGGAGCATTTTTTATTTTTTAAACAGGACAGTAAATTCTCTGAGAACACAACACAAACTTGCTAATCCCAATTCCAACACAATCAGAGAACACCATCTAGAAGTACTTCAAAAAGGGGACAGCTTAATTGTTAAATTTCTAAGTTAGGCAATGACTTGGTCTGTGTCAGCTTTCCACAGTGTTTTACTGCATGTAGCTGTCAGACAAGCACTGTCCAAAGGAAACCACACCCAATAAAGGAAAAATAACTTAAGAAAAGCCTTTTGAAAGGGATGAATTGCATTTTATTTGAGACTTGAGGCAAAAACAGGGAGAGCTTAACTAGAATTCAAAAGGCAGTTGGGGAAAAAAG